ATAGGATCAAAGTGGACGATCCGGGTGTCGTTCTATTAGAGGTTTTACGGTAGACTATGTTTTTCAATCCAATATTATTTCCAGGATTCATCGAATCCCCTGGCCACCCATCGGCCTACTCCGCCCCACTGGACTGCGTCTTCAATATCACAACAGCCGCCTCTAACGTCATCCAACTATCATTTGTGACATTTGACTTGGCTTCCAAGAATCAATTGAGTGATCAGTGTCTGGATAGTTATCTTCTAGTGGTTGTAGTCGATAGACACGGAAGACAACATGTTGGAGACCGTCTGTGTGGAAATGCAGTACCCTCATCGATCAATACAATGCAGTCATGGATGCAAGTACAGTTTGTCACCACCGCCGCGAATAACAAGCATCGAGGATTTAGGATTCAGTATCGTATTCTTTCCGAGGGTGAGTTTTCTTGTTTTTCAGATTTGGAAGCTTTAAAATTTTCAGTTTAAACTAAACCATTACAAAAAGGAATACCGTATTGCCTCTACAAAAGCCCGTCCAATCTATCAACTTTGAGCTCAATTATCTTGGTTCCTGTAAGAGATATCAAAAATTTTTCAACTGATAAAATATTTATCATAATATCACTAATATTTTATTAGTTGACACATTTTTGATATTTTTTACAGGAATCGAGATAATTGAGCTCAAAGTGGACGGCGGTTTGAGTGGTCATTTATTAGTGGAAATAGGGTGGCTCCATAAATTCCTTTATAACTTTTTACAAATTCAACATTTTAAAAATGTTTTTATACCAAAATGTAGCTGTTAAAAAACTCTATAAAATGATACACAACACAAACATGTTTCATTTAGTAGATCATTTGAAAAGCATTCTTGAATGAGCTCCGTAGGCACTATTCACTATTCACTATTCACAAAAGTTTGAAACTTCGTTGTTTCTTACTTTCAGATTCAAACTTTACAAAATTTATATCATTCAATAGAACTTTTAAAGACCTACATTTTTCAATTCACACCTTTAAATAATATTCAGTTTGAACTGAGTTATCATTTGTTTTCCAAACACGGCGCAAAAAATCTGACCTACTTCACAAAAACTCTTATAACTTTTTTCAAAATTAATATTTTTTTAAAATTAAAAAAGTAAATCGTAGCTCGGAAAATTATCTACAAACTGATATAAAATGCATAACATCTATTTTTTTCAGCAGCCATCCAGGAGCCGCTATCAATCCTAGGAGAGCCAATGTTCAGTGGGTGTGGTGGACACTCGACACCAGGACAACTGTCGGGTAGGTAGAATCAATTTATCTCATTTCCTGTAAGAGATATCAAAAAATGATTTACTGATAAAATGTTTATCATAATATTAACCACATTTATTAGTTGACTGATTTTTGATATCTCTTAGAGGAACCGAGATAAATTAGCGCAAAGTTAAAGTCAAGTTTACAAGTTTAAAGACGCATAACTCAAAAACTACTGTAGCTAGGAAAAAGTTTGCTATTACAAAAATGTTTGAAATTCAATTTTCTACATTTTCGTAGTTTGCACTCTATCCGTTTCCTGATAGCCTAGATAAGGGTCATTCTAACAAAGAAACTTTTGCAGGCGAGATTCTATCCCCCGGCTATCCATCAACATATCCAAAAAACTCGACGTGTAACTGGTTGATTCGTGTGGAGGCCCGTCAGAGGATCTACATCCGAATCGTTCACCTCCATTTGGCACCAACGATAGCCGAATGTGAGAGGGCCTCATTGACAATAATCGATGGATATAAGCATGAGAATTTTGGAAACGAGAGGAAAGAGTCGACGTCGGAGACTTCGGAAGCAAAGTTTTGTGGAAGTCAACTGTATTATTCGGAGGAGGGAATGAAGAGTTATTTGTCAAGTGCAAATCGGATTGTGGTCAGATTGGTGACACAGGAGGGACCAGCTAGTTCAATGATTGGAGAGGAGAGGATCGGATTTAAGGTTTGTAGAGGGGTCTAGATGATAAAGACAAATTCGAGACACATATAGAAATGTAGATCATAAAATTCTACGCATTTTGTTAGTTGTGGAGTTTCCGCAGCTTTCATAGTTTTGGAGATATGCGCCTTTAAAGTTGATGTCTCTGGCCCCTAATTTTGAGCTGATTCATCTCGCTTTCTGTAAGAGTTATTAAAAATGTGCCAACTGATAAAATGTTTATCGTAATATCAGAAACATTTTATCAGTTAACAGATTTTTGATATCTCTCATAGGAACCGAGATAATTAAGCACAAAGTGAAAATTAGGATTTTCTAGTGAAATCGAAAACAAAAAGGATTACGGTAGGGAAAAGTAATTGAAAGTAAAAAGGGATACTGTAGTTAGAGAAAATAGAAAGTCAGAAGGATTACTGTTGTAAAAATTATTATCAAAAACTGAGAAAGGATTACTGTAGGGAATTTGAAAAATCAAAAGTCATAAAGATTACTGTAGCTTTGCAAACTTAGATCAAAAAATGCCATTTTTTAGCTGACTGAAAATCCAGTTCGCATTTTTCGATTTGTTTGAAATTTTCAGAATATACTAAACAAAACTAGAGCTTCATTTTTGAAGTTGACAACTTTTTTTGAAAATCAAGTCCGGAGGAGATATGCCTCTTTTCCTCAACAAGCCCGATGGACCCTCCGGGCAAGTAGGCGCCCGCGCTGAGAGCGACGCTTTCATGTGGCATATCTCTCTAGGACCTAATTTTCAGAAAAAGTTGTTAACTACAAAAATGAAGTACTAGTTTGGTTTAGTCTAGTCTGAAAATTTCTAAAACATCTGAGGAAGGTGAGCTCCTTTTGTAGCAGCTGGAACTTGATGATTTTTCAACTGACTCCAATGCTACGCTAGCTTGAGT